TTCATAAACCCCATGGTGCTGTACAAGTTACATTTAAACTGCCTGTACTACCTTTATGTCTTTCTCTAGCAATATTTTTCACGTGTAATAGAGAAGCGGGACACTCCTCTGTGTGTGCTTACTAATACACACCTTTTTCTGGCCTTATTAATTCTTGCTATTGAACATTCCACACTGTGCTGCAACACCCCAATGAAACCCAACACCCAGGAACACTTCTGCCTTGGAGAGCTGTAGTGCAGAGATGGAGACCTGGAAATTTCATCTGTGAGCACTGAGCAAACTGACATTAATGGATGCCATTACTGCAAAGTGCCTTACTTCATCAAGTTGATGCCTGGAAGGTCAAATCCCACTTCTCTCCATGCTCCAAGCACCATTCTGGGGGCAAGCTCATGAGAAGAGCTGATCTGATCTGAGATGTCACTACCACCGCTCCTCTGCCACTCGTGGGGGTCCACAGCCCTCTCCCTAACCTATCCCAACTCACAAAATCAAACAAAGAATAACCCCGGAAAACAACATACTGGGAAGACAAGGCAGAGCAGCTCAGCAAAAGGCCCAGTGCTTTCATGTCAAAGATGCAGCTGTCAATAACATTGCTGAAAGAAAGCTCTACTACATAAGGACTAAAAGAAGAGACCAGCTTTCTTGCTTGGAAGAAAAAGACTTAATTACACCAAGCTCAGTTCTTAATTTTCCATCTTTTGCAGCATATTCACCAAAATACTTTATAAAGGCACCTGCTTGCGGGGTCAGGCAATTTGTATCATCGTCTGGGGTATTTTTTTCACTTACCATAAAGAAATGCTGTAAGTTTCACACTTGTGAAGAACATCAGATAAAAAGGCACAAAAATGGAAATTACCCATGAGCACTTTGTGCCATGAAGCCTCTGCTGAGTGCTAGGGCCATCTCTTCCTTGGCCACAATCCCGCCTGGCTGGTGACAGAGATCCCAGCAGCAGGACAAATGCTTGATGCACGTACAACACAGTGCCACCAGCCCTCTCCCCCTCTGGCCTCTCTAACGTCAGACTGTCAGCAGCAATGTGACCTAGTGGCCATCAGCTCTTCTCTACATATTTTTAAAGGCCCCAAATCTGGAATGAACCCAGTATCCCTTACTGGAATCAGGGAGAAGCACACTTCCATATCGACTTCACCTGCAGAGTTGCTAGTGCTGCTGCCAAAACAAAACAAGTGCATCCCCAAGGAAACACTGAAGTGAGCACCTGGATACACGAATTCTCCACTGAACTTTGTTTCTTTCATATTCTTTCTTCTTCTTAAAGGAATCATCTACTTAGAGGTAACAAGAATTAAATACCATTTTGCAGCTGAACTGCTGTTTACTGAAGCAGCAGTTAACCATATCATATGACCTTCCATACATAAAATAAATATAGAACTGGATGAACTTGTCAGCTATCCAGTATTTAACAGTACTTTGTTACAGAAAATATCCTTCACTTTCCTTCAGCTATGCTCAACCCTGTTTGAATAAAGGACTCTCTAGCATTTAACTCTAGACGCTGGTCACTTCAAGCTGTGGCTCTGCATGGTGTTTTTCACAAGAACTGGTTTGAGCTTCCAGATGTGTATCAGAAAAACAAAGCATAAAGTGATGTGGGAACTTCTTTCTCCTTTCAAAGAGCTTTGTCTCTGCATGTCTTCTTCCAGTAAAACTGACAGAATTCAGCAGGAACACCGGCTGACAAGTACAAAAGCCTTTTGAAGCAAATCCCTAGAATTTAAAACCAACCTGACAGAACAAACTGAAAACTCTGAATAAAAGCATAAGACGTACAGGTAAAAGACAACTAAGGCATGTACGTGAACAAATTTATTTTTATGCATCATTTGCAAGAAGTTTTATCATGGGGAGAGGACTGCAGGTTTCAATTTATCTGAAAGCTTGGTCAACAGTTCTCCACTACAACAAGCCTGCCATCTAACTTCCATTCTAAAATTAACAATCCCTATTGTCCTGGGTTCAGCAGTAGCAGTCATGTTTCTCCTCCTTGGTAGCTGGTGCAGTGCAGTGTTTTGACTTTCAGCTCGGGAACAGAGCTGATAACGATGTTTTGGTTTGGCCAAGGACTTTGTGAGCCTCATGCTCTGCCAGGGAGGAGGGGAAGCTGGGAGGAAGCAGAGACAGGACACCTGACCCAAACTGACCAAAGAGGTATTCCATACCACAGCACGTCATGCCCAGGAGGTAACTGGGAGTTAGCCGGAAGGGCTGGGAGACTGCAGGGTTGGAGGAGGTATCGGTCAGAGCTTGGTCGGGCTTGGGGGGCGAGTTATCAGTCAGCGGGTGGTGAGGTGTTGTATTCTCTTCCCTTGTTATTTCCTTTATCATTATTATCACTGGTGGTAGCAGTAGTGATTTGTGTTATACCTTAGTTACTAAACTGTTCTTATCTCAACCCGTGGGAGTTGCATTCTTTTGATTCTCCTCTCCGTCCCTCCGAGAGCAGGGGGAGGGCAAGAAAGGGGGGGAAGTAAGCGAACGAATTACCTGACTGGGTTTAAACCATGACACCTATCCAGAAAGCAGTTCTTATTTTTCACCTGTTCTGCTTATCAAAAGACTGCACAAGAACCTGGCTCTCTGATGGCTAAAAAATCCCTTTACATTTCCAGTTAAAAAGTGAGGCTAATTTATACAGGCTTGCTCCTGTGACAACCTTGTTGTGACTTTAAATGTTTCTTTATCCTACCAGCTTTTATGTGTCACCAGATTAGCAAATCAAGCTCTTACACGGTATGTTTATACAGCCTTTCATAGGCAAATATGCACATGGTCTCCTATGCAGCTAGCTGGCTACGTGAGAGCCAGATACAAACTGGATGCTGTGTAGACCTGCATAGGACATTACTAAGCCTGAGCTGATGGGCTTTGACGAGGGCAGCAGCTTGGTCTTACACCTCTTGGGTCACATTAACCTCACCTCTATCTGGCTCAAAGCATGGAAAGAATGAGTGCGTACTTCCAAAATACCCCAAGCACACAAGCCTCAGTTGCTCCTTTGAGAGCCTCTCTACTCCTCTGTGCACTCCTCCACAGTCTTGCTGATCTCCTGCCTTCTCTTTCGAGCAGGGCCTATCACCAAGCTACCCAAGTACCTCATCTGTGCTGTCTGCCGATGTGCTAGGATGCATCCAGAACGACAAGAGGGACAGATTTTGTCATCCCCCTCCCTGGGTTCCATGGGGATGACCTACAATCTCTAGGAAATAGCTACAATCTTGTAGTAAGTACCAGGTCAGCTACTGTGATGGCCTCAGAGCTCACCAGCAAGCTCAGCTTCCCAACAGAAACACCAACACTCTGCAACTGGGTGCAGTTTTGCAGCCAAATGAGCTTTGCTTTGATTTTGCATGCAATGGTTGAACAATAAAGGGAGCGCAAGAAGCCACCTATACTATACAGGAAAAAGAAACCTGGCCAACTCCAGTGAATCTGTATTTCATTAAATTAACCTGATTTTGTGTTTGAAAGTCAAAGCTACACAATTTGCTTCTTACTGTAATTAACAGAAGGCATTGATTATTGCATAATAAACCACCTTAACAATGAGGAAGTGTTAATTTTGCATTGGAATTGTGGATCATGGCAACTAATTTCATGAAATAGTTAAATCAGTGGCATGATTATTCTGTCAACAATGACAAAGGATGGACATTTTATATTCAAAAAATGTGGAAGCGGGATCTGAAATTACATTAGTGCACAAATTTATGCAAAGCATAGCATCCTTTCAATCATTCTCGGTAGGTCCCTTAGCAGTTTAAAAACTCATGATCTTAAAAATTTCCCAACCAAACAAAAAACAGCCACAAACCCCCAAGCTACCATTCAGACATCTGTAAGTCAGTATTTCCTGATCTATTATTGACTACCTTTAATACCGGTTCATCAGCTACAGAACTTCTTGAACAGAGCCAAGCAGGCATCTTTATGGGACCACTTATGTTTATTACATCTGTGCTTTGTACCTATCAACAACAGGCCACTTAGTTTTGTCAAACAAAACCTACAAACACCAGTTGTCCTTGGATCACTCCAACTTTCAAAACAAATACTACCTAGAACTCAAACACTGCAAAGGGATTGAAAAACAACTGTCACTGACAGATAAAAAAAGGAAAAGACAAATTACTTATCAAATGTACTCACGTTTGCTTTCTATCTGTAAATATTAGCTCCCATATATATATAGTGTTCAAAACCAATGGAAATACAAATAAAGCTAGATATGATGGAAAACAATAGTTCATCAAAACAGGATGTCCCAAACGTTATGTTAGAGCTCTAAAGATCCAACTTGCCCAATTCTTTTGAAGGGTTTTTGTTGATCAAACCTTCTATGCAACAGCTAATTCTATCTCCTCTTCTATATGCTAGTATTATTTATAACATGTTGAGAGTCAGAAACAGATGAACATCTCTGAACTATCTTAATGTCTAAGCAGAAATACTTCAATGCTGACCTCATCTCAAAGGTACAGGGAACACAGTTATACAGGTATAAGAGAGGCTGCTGTACCAAGAGATTTCAGTGGCAGGAAATGCTTTCTGCATGCCGTTCCCCTGTGTGACAGGTGGCTCCCCCCACCCCTCACTCAGAAAGATGGCTGCTCTGAACCACCTTCCCTAGACAGTGATAAATAGGTCCACTCATCAGCTCACACAGTGCTCAAAAGTCAATGCACGCTTTGAAAAACATTGCATTAGAAACGTGGCTCTATTGACACACCACGTTTCTAAGGACACAGCATTCACTACAGCTGCATCTGCTGGGAAGTGTGTAAATATGAGACATGTACTACACTGTAAATTCACATGAGCTATTTGGTATAAACCTTAAGGAAATCTAAGCACTAACCCCAGTCACATTCAGACTGGTAAAGCTACAAAGGCATTTTCACAGACAATGGTCTAGGAGTTATGTTAGTTCCCAGGGATTTCGCAAAGCGTTTTTCTCTTGTTACCTTGGTAACAGCTACCTTGGCACCCCTGTTGATAAGCTGCACCACATTCTCCACTTGGCCTTTGTGGGCAGCTACAAGCAGGCGTTCTGAAAGCACGGCAACCACATCCTGCTGGCTCATGAATTAGGAGAGACAGGTTTTCACAATTCCTCGGTCAAAAAACAAAGGCTTGGGATTGGTTCAAGCAGCATGCAGACAGGCAAGGAAGGACCCCAGCTCCTTGGACACTGACGTTACTGATGTTACTGCTATGCCATCCTCTGGACCTGTGGAGCAGAAAACAACACTGCTGTAAGCAAGGTTTCAGAGACAGAAGCACTGCAGCAGCTCCTCCCTTGTCATTTGCCTTGGCATTGCTTTGGAAGGGGGTCACAAAAAAGCCTCAAAGCCTCCTGAAGACACTGTATTTCTGTTGCAAAGCAGAAGGATACAGACAGTATCACATAATGTGCCCTCAATCCCCTAGTTTGGGACAAAAATCCTTAAACTTCCTGAGAGCTTTTGGCCTAACCTGTACCTGTGTGGCCCCCTTTCATTCCATCCTTCCCACTGGGTTTCCCAGACTTGAATTAGCCAAGGACAGGTGAACTACATCCACTGCTAACAGTAGCTCAGCCTGCGTTGGCCAAAGGAACAAGAATATGTTATAGTTACTGGCTGCTGATACAAATACCCAAACCTCTGCAGTGGAAGGACTGAGTGCAGTCAGCAATTAAAGGCAGCTGACTGCTCCCTCATGAGTATAAAATGCTTCACAGCCTTGCCCAAGGACACCTCTGGGAGGGATCATGACCTGCAACTGGGAAACACTCATTTTTGTTGTCAATGAGAAATGATGTTCCCCCTGCAGTGCTGGCATCACACCCCACTGACCCCAGCAACAATTCAGATGTAGCACTCATCACACAAAGTTGTGTGTTTTTCTTCCTGGGCTCCCCTGACCTGTTCCGTGAGCCATCAGAGCTGAAAAAGGATTTCTGACATAATTCCAGAAAATGCATCCACAGATCACTTTTAAGCTGTAGGACCCAGAACCTGCCCATTCTGAGAGGGTTCAGCTTTACCTCTGCTTTTCACACATGGATATTTAACTGTTTCAGTGCAGAAAAAACACCTTCAAGATAGCCAGTGTGTATCTAGATGATTTATCTTTCTCTCTCTTGAAATATCACTGCACTTCTCCTTATCAGCTACCAGTATTACAGGCGTTGCACAGTCTAAGTAATCACTACAGGGACTAGATGATCATGGAGATTGATAGCAGAATACAATGCCTCTCACCTTTACATTATTCTTTTGAATCCATCTCAAAACAGCAGTAACTAAAAGTTATTACTAAAAGCTGTTACTGCTTAATGTCTTTGCTGCCCCCCTAAATTGATTTGTCTCAGTTTAGCTGATATAACAAAACCCTCCCCATCATAATCCCACCACTCAGAGTACTGACATTTTTGCTAACAGCTTCAGCAGGGAGATCAGCAGCAGAATAGCAGAAAGATTTTATTTCCACCCTCATATCAAGATGCCACTCCCAGCAACAATGAGAAAATGCATGGATGGCTTTGGCACATGAACTCCCTGTCTTTAAAATACTGGGGGCGAGAGCTTTTAATGAACATCATTCCAGTGCTACTGGACTGTGTCCACCAGTACCCTTTCTGTGACAAAAAGATGCTGTAGCCCCGTTTAATTAGTTAATAGGGTATTGTGATCTCCTGTGTCACCAAAGTGGTATCCAAAGTCCCTGGACGCTATAGGATCACTGATGTACACTAAGCATTTTTGGTCATGTATATTAAAACCATTCTGGCTAATTTGTAGGAGCAGATGATATTAGGAGAATTTAATCTGCACTCCAGTGGTAATTTGTATTAACAAATCTTGAAACACTTTATGAGCAGTAATTCTTATAACACTCTTTGAGGTAAATAATATGCTCAAGAATATTACATGCATTTCTGAAAAAGACCCTTGAAAGCACAGGAAAGTTACTGGTTTCTCCAAGGTTAATAGAAAAGTTATGTCAGAGCCAGAAAGTAACTCCAGATAATTGATTCTTAATTTCTATGTATATTGAGTAATACTATTTCCAGGTAAAATATTCAGGTTAGCTTTTCCTCACCTTCCCCTTGCTTTCTAAGTGTAACCATGCTTGGCGTAACATGGAAATAACCACACATTTATTCAGGGAAACATGACAAACTTTCTGGGCCTCAGAGGCACTGCAACAAGAGACAACAGAGAAGTGGTGCCACTGGACTGGTCTCACACCCTCACCGTGACAGACACAGTCTGGACACCCTGGTAACATGGAAAAGATGGCAGACAGAAGAAAAACCCCTTGTATCTTTCACTAGCACTGTACACATCATACCCTGCTGCTCTGGCACCCTGATGTGCACGGTATAGTACAAACGAAGTACAGGTGGCCTACACTTAGTAATTTGATCTGTGAAAAGCAACCCAAATTTCAACATCGCCTCCCTACGTACTTGCTTTCTGGCAACTTGTGCGAGCTGAACCCCCCTGAGCCCAGTACCCCTGCTCTCAACACATCCCAGAGAAGCACCTCTCTAATCCAGGAGCACTTCCCACTCCTTCCCTCCTAACCAGCACACAATGCAGGGCAAGCCTTACAACAGGGATCTTTCTCTGTGAGCTTTTCAGGCAGCGGAGTGATTTGTTTCTGTGCCAGCCTTGGCTGTGCAGCAGTAGTTGCCAGATGAACCATACCATCGCTTCTTTGTCCCCACCTAAGCTGGCTGCCTATGCTTTGGATAAAGTCATGCACAATACAGTGACAACTCTGCATCTTAGAACATTTGTGGTCAAACCCTGCTGGGTTTTCCTACCCCTGAAATTAAAAATAAAGAAACAAAATGAAACAGTAACATCACTGTGACTGAGACGTTTCTATACCCACTGCAAAGATCTCCATGGAGATATTTTCCTGACATGCTGACATTTCTGAGCAATTTCACATAAGCTGTAGATGTTCATTACATCTTAGCCACACCACTAGAAATGTACCTTAATACATCAACTGACTCACAACAGTGCAAAGCTCAGTGCTGCTGGGAAAAAAAAATCTGGTTAACAGGTACATACCTGCACAAGGTAATGCTGGAAATTGTACTCCCTAGTTTGAATTTTTCTTCCTCTTTCTCACTGTGTTCCCATCACTGCAGTACATTCACCCCCAGAGATCAAGAGCTTCCTCAGCCTGCCATGTCCTGCCACACTGGTGTGACAGGCTGTGATGGCACTGCTGTTATCATGTAGTTTGCCTTCTTGCCTCTTCCATTGCTTGGATCACTTATAAAGGCATAGCAAGGAGTTGATTCAGCTACTGGTCTTTTATGGATGTCTCCCACATTGACCTAGTCTCCAGCAGTCGTCAGTCCCCTTTACTGTAGGGCAATCACATCACAAGCTGTGCTCCTGCTCTGGGCTGTTTCACAGATGGACACTGGCACAACAGGTCACATTCCCCACACCAGCTGCTTTACATCACCTTAGTTGAGATTATTTGCAACTCAGAAAAGTGCATCCAATTAGGATAGGAAGCCCAGACAACTCTAAGACCAACTTTCCTTTTCTTCTGAGCTGGTAGGTAGGTGACCAGTGGGAGAGGGAGGGGATGGAACCCTCTCATTCCCCTCCCATGGAACCTTCCCCAGCCTGGTGGCTGAACAAGCAGTGGCATCACTCCCTGCCAGCTTTAACTCCCCACATGTCACACACACAAAGCATCTTTACTTGATCATGTCCCTACTTGCAGCAGAAGGAGGAGGGTACCAGATGCCCAAGGACTATAATTAAAAGCTCAACCACCCTTTTCACACCCAGATGGTGCAAAATGAGCCAAACAACACAATTACAGGTGCTGCATCACATCCCTGCTGTTAGAACCTGCTGTCCAGGATTAAATCCCTTATTATCATCCCCCAAATCCGGGAACTCAGGGGAAACACAGAGCTCAGGAATATTCAAACCTTCTGCCTTCAAAACAAAACAAGGATTTTGCTTTAATGCATTTTTAAATAAGCCACCTCTGTGTTTCTCTAAGATCAGATTACTTACCTGGGCTGGCTGGGAAAGCAACACCTACTTCCCAATCCTCTCCAGGGAAACCAGCCAGGTGTGAAGCCCTTGCTCCACCAAATGGCAATCCCTTCTGAGAATAACCTGCTCACCCCATCAGCAGAGCTTGGAAACAGACAGGTGATCATGGATTAACATTCCTGACCAGCAGCAGTGAGGCACCATCGCCAGGCACTGAAGTCCAGCCGCATCCCCATGGATGCTGCCCGCAGCTCAATGAGTCACTCTGCTCTACGGATGCTCTAGGAGATGTTTGGCCAGGATGGCACAGCAAGGCATAGGCGGGCAGCCGGCTGCTTGGTGGCAGTGTCTCAAAGCTCACAGCTCTGGCCTCTCTCCCGTGCAATTGGCAGAGTGGACAAAAAACACCTCATGCACCTTCCTCCTCCCCAGCTCCTTCCCCTCCAAACCGCTTGCAGGCTGCTTCAGCATTTGTACTGCCAAAAAAGTACAGGAAAGATGATTTCTAAAAAACAGAGGGAAGCTCAGGACAATCAAAGGTGTCATTATGAAAAACCACAGCTATATCTGGAAAACAGCAAAGCCCCACCAAGTCAAGAATAATGTGCTTTTGGATCATACTTTTCTTTACAACACCACCAATACTATTTTTAGAGTTAGATTTTATACCAATCAATGTTTTGAACTGGACACCTACATAAAAGTCTGGTAGTTTATATGTTGCTCTCTGCATTTTTTCCTATTGTTTTCATTGCGTATTTTATCACACCAAGTAAAATTATCCAGTTTGGATATGGACAGTTGTGTGATTCATCACCGAGTATCAGCATGGCCTGGTGGCACATCAGTGAAAGCGCTTCCTAGGCTTTTAGTTTTTTTCCCACTTGTTGCTATTAATTACTCCAACAATGACTATTTAGCAGCCTCCCAGGGAGCATCTGCATGACAGCTGCTCATCACGCTTCCCACCACAACCAGACTGGACTGGTTGACGGCACTGCTCCACTGCAGCTGGTGGCCTTTTTACCACCAAGATCAACCTTCAGTGCTGCACCTGCCAAGCAGAACACTTTTGGAGGGAGGCACAGACACATGGAGACCAACGATGAACATCGGAGGCAGGGTCAAGTCACAGTTAAACATCACTAATATCTTTGTACGAAGACAACTGTTTTTCTTCCCCTCCTACTTCTTCCCCTTT